ATTTGACAGTTGTTTGAAATTAACCCTCCATTTCATTGCAGAAATGTTTTTTTGAGTCGTAAACATGTTTCTTGGGTGTTTCAAAACAATAAAAATATACTATATTCTACAGGGAAAAAAGAGGGAGAGAATTTAATTGTTTAACTTCTGGTGATGTTTACTTTCTTATATGCACTGAAAAGTTATGCTATATTTTCACTGTAGTACAGGACATTTATTTATGTCAAGTATTTCTTTATTTAAAACATAGATAAATTTTGCACATTTTTTTTTAATGTAACAATCATGACAATTAAACAGACTTATAGGGGGAAAATAATTTTACTCATGCCAAGTATTTCTTTATTTAAAACAAAGCTAAATCTGCACAATTAAAAAAAAAGCCAAGTAAAGAGAGATGTACTAGAGGGGAAACAATGGTGGTATTACCCCCTCAAACCAGGCTTCCACTAATGAATTACAACTTTTCTTAAAGTAGCCATAATTTTCTATAAAAGAACTTAGTTTGCTATTTAAAAACTAGAGGCTCTAAAGAGCCTGTGTCGCTCACCTTGGTCTATGTGCATATTAAACAAAGGACACAGATGGATTCATGACAAAATTGTGTTTTGGTGATGGTGATGTGTTTGTAGAAATTACTTTACTGAACATTCTTGCTCCTTACTATTATCTCTATCTATAATGAACTTGGCCCCGTAGTTACAGTGGAAAATACTTTGTAAAAATTTACAAAAATTTACAAAATTTATGAAAATTGTAAAAAATTGACTATAAAGGGCAATTACTCCCAAGCAATAATGTTCAGCAAAGTAAGATCTACAAATAAGTCAACAAAAATTTGCGAAAAATGGTTAAAAATTGACTATAAAGGGCAATAACTCCTTAAGGGGTCAACTGACCATTTTGGTCAAGTTGACTTATTTGTAGATCTTACTTTGCTGAACATTATTGCTGTTTACAGTTTATCTCTATCTATAATAATTTTCAAGATAATAACCAAAAACGGCAAAATTTCCTTAAAATTACCAATTCAGGGGCAGCAACCCAACAACGGGTTGCCTGATTGGTCTGAAAATTTCAGGGCAGATAGATCTTGACCTAATGAACAATTTTATACCATCAGATTAGCTCTAAATGCTTTGGTTTCACAGATATAAGCCAAAATCTACATTTTACCCCTATGTTCTATTTTTAGCCATGGCGGCCATCTTGGTTGGTTGGCCGGGTCACCGGACACATTTTTTAAACAAGATACCCCAATGATGATTGTGGCCAAGTTTGGTCAAATTTGTCTTAGTAGTTTCAGAGGAGAAGATTTTTGTAAAAGATAACAAAAATTTACGAAAAATGGTTAAAAATTGACTATAAAGGGCAATAACTCCTTAAGGGGTCAACTGACCATTTTGGTCAAGTTCACTTATTTGTAGATCTTACTTTGCTGAACATTATTGCTGTTTACAGTTTATCTCTATTTATAATAATATTCAAGATAATAACCAAAAACTGCAAAATTTCCTTAAAATTACCAATTCAGGGGCAGCAACCCAACAACAGGTTGTCAGATTTGTCTGAATATTTCAGGGCAGATAGATCTTGACCTAATGAACAATTTTATCCCATCAGATTTGCTCTAAATGCTTTGGTTTCAGAGATATGTACAAGGTGAGCTAAAAACATATTACTATTGTTTAGATAGGGGCATTACTTAAACAAGTAATTTTCAAAATTACCTATACAAGTTATGTTGAAAACGAGGCTGTTTCAAATATTACTTCTATATCATGAATATAAAGTAACTTCTGTTAATATTATTTTTATAGGTGTCCATTCATACAGGTTTTACTAGCTTTAACAAGTTTTCACAGACATCTGGTTATTTTCCCCATGAAATATACTGGTAAAACTATTTAAATCCTCAACAAGCACTAATTGCTTTTCTGATGCCACACTTCTTGGTCAAAGATTGGCCTCTTGGGGCTATTAAAATATCATTTCCCCTTAAAATCTTAGAGATAGACAGTTATAACTAGATATGGAACCTTTAATTAAGACTTGAAGTTATTTATAATTTGAATCTTAATCAAAAGCAATTACCATCATATTCCTTAAATAATTGTATTTTTTTATTGTAAGTACTAAGTTTTTTGAAGTTGTATAGAATAGTTTATTAAAGTAATATTTTTGTCATTATTTTTTAAAGTAACCTCTCTATACTCATCTCAAATTGGATAAATACTTAATTTTATTTAATGAAATGATATAGAAATTCTTAAAAACTACATTTAGTCCTTGCTTTATTTGACATTTAAAATAACTATTGAAAATACCTATAAAAGTGACTAAAAAAAATTACTTGTTTAGTATCGCCACCTGACTGTTGTTTGTGTCTTGATAACTTTTATGTAGCATATTATATAATATACCGGTAAACTATTTTAAAATCATATCATCTAATTATAAAATTTGAGAATTTTTTTATTATAAAAAAAGGAATGATTATTAAATATAATAAGAAAATATTTAAATGACTTTTACTATTTGTGGAGACTTGAGATTTCTTTCCAAGCATTACACAGCACTGTTGAAAAATTTCTAATCTATTTTACAGTTTTGTAAAATTTCATGCAAAATGTATTTGAATAGACCAGATGTTTACACAGGTGTTTATGGAGCTTCCTCTATAATGCTCTACTTTCCTTATTATAGAAGTGGTGTATATTTGATTGACATCTTAATGGATCATGATAATTATTGTCAAATTAACTGCTGAGAAGAGCCTACTTAAAAAGCTCCGAGCATCCTCTGAGCATGCTCGGAGCTTGCTCGTAAGAATAAATCTATGATCCCTAACTCTAGAACGGTTAAAGTGAGGCCACCAAAATTCAAACTTGATCTGTGTTTTTTGGTAATAAGCATTGTGTATCAGTTTTATAACATTTGGTCGAGACAAACTTAAGTTAGAAAATGGAAACTAAAAATTTTGCAATTTTTTCCATTTATAAAGGCATAACTCAGGAACAGTTATAGTGATGCCACCAAAATTCAAACTTGATCTGTGTTTTGTGGTAATAAGCATTGTGTAAAAGTTTCATAACAATTGGTTGAGGCAAACTCAAGTTAGAGAACGGAAACCAATTTTGGGACGTACGTTCGTATGTACGTACGTACGTACAGACGGACAAGGGTAAAACTTAATGCCCCCACAGCTACGCCGGGGGTATAAAAATACTTTAAACACAGACTGAATCAAAATGTTAATGACATGGACAACTGAATATATGATCATTATGGTGTGACTTCTACCACAAAATGTTGCAGGCCCTCCAAAAATAACCAGTTATCTAAATTATTTCATTTTTAATCCGTCATTTGAAATCATGTTTCTGCTGTTTCCACTTGTTTCATCCTTAACACAACAGGAACAGATGTACAAGGAATCAGTCCTAGTTCTGTGATCACCACAGATACAAACTCTGGTGGGGTTACATCATAAACCAGATTCAATAATGTTAATGAATTATAGTCTCTCCAGTCAGATAAATAGGCTGTCTTGTTTCCAATGTTGACCAGGTCATCAGGATCACCTGTAAAATCATATTTATCTATTAATATCAAGGTGCAAATTCAGTAGGCCAAAAAAAGATAAAATGCAAATGGACTAACTAGTATACATTATTGTTTAAGGGCCAGCATAAGCCCACCTCCAGTTGCAGGATTTTCTCGTCATATCAAAGACCCATTGGTGGCTGTTACCTGCTCTTTGGTCAGGTTGTTGTCTCTTTGACACATTCCCGTTTCAATTCACAATTCTAAATGATATGGTTTAACTTTCCCTATGTACCCTATTTTTTTTAGACCCTATCCTTAACTTATTTTGGCCATTTTTCAAGTAATCACTGAAGAAGCCATACTATTTCAAGGCCACTTACTAATGAGTAATGATTAATAAGGTTGAGCCACTGGAATAGCTTGCATTGATAATACATGATATACAGACAGGAAATTAAGATTAAATATATGTTTAGGTTGCTGATTTAATCATCAGTATTTGAAACTGAACAAAGTTCCTGATTTTTCATAGATCTGATTAAAACAAAATACAGTCAAACCTCATTGTGTTGAACTCTTTTGTGTCTAAAACTCAGATGAGTTGAAGTAATTTCTAGGTCCCAGTAAAATACCACTTTGATCAATGCATAATTACCACTGATAAGTGGAACTCAATTGTTTCAGATACTCGGTTAAGCTGAGTATATTTTATAGTCCCGTCGATATAAAATTAATGAAAATTGACTCAAATGTCTTGAAGTTGGAAAGTTACAATTTTAGAAAAATGCAGACCGTATGATAAAAAATCAAATCGAATGTATTTCTTATGTCACCTAATCATTTTTCAAAAGAGATTAAAGCTGTGTAGACATACTTGTATTAAACATATTTCACATGAGATAAAAACAATCGGAATTTAAATGACCTAAAGCTGAGATTAAATAAATCGCTAAAATTAAAAATCAGTAATTATGAAAACTAAAACGATTAAGACAATTATGATAAATTCCTGATAATTTGATGTAAGCAGACAACCTCATCAGAGACCTTTCTGACCTTATTTTGTTCTGGGATTGATTTCATTATTCATAGTGACTGACCTTTGTAAAATATTTGCCTAGACAGTTGAATCATTATGAAGGACCAAAACTGGAGATTGAATACACAATGTCATATCAAAAGCACAATGTTTAAAGTTTCTTCTTTACGCAAATCTCATACCCTATTTCATGCATTCCAAATTTATGCGGCACCCTCAACCTCTGATGAGTCGACCTTTGGATGAGTCAAATACTTTGGTCTGGTCCCTTCCACTTTGACACAACGAGGTTCTATTGTATCTAAATGTATCATGTGTTTGTCATATCATAAGCGTCATTAGACTTACATCTATCTAAATTGAAAACAAAACTTAACGACAAATGTAACTGTTTGTCCTACAATCTACTTACCAAGTTCATTCAATACAAAGCTATCAGTCTGTCCTCTTTCACAGAATTTATAAGTTTCACAGCAGACTAGTACAGACACGTTAAATGATTTGGCTACAAGAGCTAATTGTGAGCTGCCAACCCTGGACATCACACATCCATTAGCTAGCAAGGCATGAGCTCCTAAGAACACTTTGGTAGCCTATAAAATACAAAAAGAATAGAAAATGACAGTAAAGAATACACATCTTTAATATTGCATATATTGGTATTATTTATGTAGGTTTGGATTCGCTTAGAAGAAGTGGTAAAAATGCCAGACTTCAGTATGCTGTTTAAGGCAATGGCATCAGCAATATATATATATATAAGTTGGTAATTTGTAAATTCACTGTTATTCCATATTGGTATTGATTTAGTAGGGTTATCTATTATATTATGAATAAGACAGAATATTCATCTGAAGCAAAGTCCAATATCTTTGGTAGTTCGTGTTATCCTTTATGTATTTTAGAAATTAATCAGGTCAATCAACACTTTTAATAGAACCTTTTAGCTTCATTGTTTCTAAATGACTGTCTGATGTCATGCAACAGGAACTTTCTAATTATGACGTCAAATGTTTTGCAGTATTTTGCAGGATCCTGTGTGGTTTTAAGAAATCCAAATTAGCATACAAATTTATTAAATGTCTATTTCAATAAAATCTTGGAAAAGAAAGATTTTTTCACTATCTTATCCAGTATAAAACAAACAGATGTAAATCTCTAATTACAAAGGTTGACTAATACTGAACAATGTATTCAAATAATTCAATGTCACATATCATAGAATATGTGTGAAATTTAGGACACACTGTAAGTCTTGCTTTTATGACTTACTTCGAAATTCCATAATTGAGCAAGTTAAGATAATTGTACTACTTAAACAGGCAGAAACCCAGTTGAAATTTAACAAAAGAAACTCTTTACTAGAGAAGGTAAAAAAGGCATAGTTGGTAAATTTGAATTGTTTACATCTATTTCTATGCATATGGCTTTTAAAAGTGTAATGAATAAGCAAAATATAGAATTTTATGCAACTTATATACATGTTTCCACTTAAGTGTTTTAGTTGACTATTCTTTCTTGAAAACTTACAAAAGAAAAATAGTTGATACATCGTCACGCTTCAGATTCTATTATTGTTATGTATTTAGGCTATAGGTTGATATAGTAACATTAAAAATTTACAGGACAAAAACTGAAATATCTGGGTCAAGCAAAATATCTTTCTAATGAGTCATAACAACAGAGTGGGTGTGTTCTTATAACAATTTTTTACTAAAAGTACTTAAGCAGACTTAAAAAGTGGGTCTTTACAAATGCATAACTTCAAAATAGCTAATTTTTTGTTTATGTTAAGTTAGGTAATAAGTCTTCAACCTCTGAAAATTATTAGTGTACTCTTCCACGATTTTTTTTTTAACTAGGTATATTTTTTTTTAGATATTTTTTAACTTTTTTAATTCACCCTAACAACTGATTAGACAATAGTTTTAAGTAGTGCAAATGCATTAAAGTACATTCAATGATGCTCAATAACTATAAGATACATTTTTCTTTTAAAATACAACTGGCTCAGATGATCCTATGTGGATAAATTAATCTGTTTCCAAGATCTAGAGCACATCATCACTACAATGGCTTCCAGTTTAAGATTTTGAAAATTAGTTGTAATGGGGAGATAACTTTGATGAAGTAGAATCATGACAGTAAAGTAACAGATTTATTGTAGTTTGATCTCTTAACATCCAGTTTAGGAGCAGAATAAGTAACGTCATCTAGGATATAAACATGATCATAACACAGAATGACAGAATATATCAGAGATTGTATATAGATAAAATTTTCTATTATGAAGACATACCTCTTGCATGGCATATGACACAGCATTAATCAACATATAGGAGCATTTGATTCCTGCTCTCACCAGTCTTCTTAACATCTCTTTACCTGTAATTAATAAGACACAGCATTAATCAACATATAGGAGCATTTGATTCCTGCTCTCACCAGTCTTCTTAACATCTCTTTACCTGTAATTAATATGACACAGCATTAATCAACATATAGGAGCATTTGATTCCTGCTCTGACCAGTCTTCTTAACATCTCTTTACCTGTAATTAATATGACACAGCATTAATCAACATATAGGAGCATTTGATTCCTGCTCTCACCAGTCTTCTTAACATTTCTTTACCTGAAATTATTCAAAAATGTGCAATTAAGTCACATATAAAATTCATCAACATCTATCAATAAATATGTATGTAAAGAACAAGATTGAATAATGAGCTATAATGATATCCCGCTAATAGTATTCAGTTAACAGGAAATTATAATAAGATTATATACACTGGGTGCTTTTGATACACTTTTTAATTAACTTTAGTGAGGAATACATAGAAGTTTTAAGGACAGGCATATGCATGTATAAAGAATGGCATACTCGAGCAGCTATATGAACAAAAAGGACCTTATAAGAATATTTATAGGTCGTCCCACTGTCTATATCACTCTGTTCAGCTCTTAATAAAATTGCATATCACGGCTCTATGACGTCAAGTACATTGACCCGGCCTTAATAACTTTTAACGGACATATCAGCGACGTCATAATGTTTGAACCTACATTGATAAGTTTGACCTGAACTTATCAAGTCATCTTTTGGTTTGCTGGTGAAACAAAGAAAACACTTCCAAAAGACGCAAATACAGACCGATAAATCGATTATCAGATTATCTGCATATTGATATTGTAAAATATCAGTTGCTCAACACAATATGAAGGCTTTTTGATCTCGTTCGCTGCGCTCACTCGACAAAAAGCTTCATATTGTGACTCGCAGCTGATATTTTACGATATCAATATGCAGGCAACCTGATAATCGGTACAGCTCATACCATCTATCTAAAAATCAACTGGGCTGAGGTAATTGGAACCTAGGTTTCTATATAATTTTTTAATTTATCAATGGATAATTTCAGAGAGGTATGTCAACTGAGTTTTACTGTGCGTGTTGCTGTGTATTTCTTTATTCTACATTGGCTAAAGGTATAGGGGGAGGGTTGAGATCTCACAAAACATTTTTAACCCCCCCCCCCTCTGGATTTTTGTGCCTGTCCCAAGTCAGGAGCTTCTGGCCTTTGTTAGTCTTGTATGTTTTTCAATTTTAGTTCATTTATATGTTTTGGAGTTAAGTATGACTTCCATTTTAATTGAACTAGTGCACACCTTTTATTTAGGGGCGAGCTGAGGCTTGACTCTGGATGCAGGATTTTCTCACTGCATTGAAGACGCATTAGTGGCCTTCGACTGTTTTTCTCATTGACATATTCCCCATTTCCATTCTCAATTTAATCATGTCAAATTGAAAATTTAAGAGAGGTATGATATCATGTCAGCACAGAAGCACTACTGAAGATACACTCTATATATATATATAGCTAGGACTTATGGTATACCATTAGCAATATTGGGACAGTGCTAGAAAATGTTGTGTCTGTATTTTCAAGTACCTTCATTGGTAAATCTAAACCTAAAATTTGGAAGAGAAGGGATGTATAAATACTTAAATATTGGAGTTGATGAGTGATCATGAATGTAAAAGTGCATCCCATGCTCACTAATGCTTGATACCAAATTTAAAGAAGCTTTTGTGTACTATTGTTTGTCTTTTTTCTTATTTAGCCATGGCGTTGTCAGTTTATTTTTTATTTATGTGTTTGAAGGTCCCTCTGGTACAGGGCTTCCAAAACGGTCATATATTCCGGACTTGACCGAAACTTTCATAAAAAGACCGGCTGCTCTCAGCCTCAAACGGTCAAATAGAATTGGTGGGCCACATTCTGTTATTCAAGGCATTTTCATGAAACGGTCATTTCAATTTTTACCAACTATCGATCGATAAAAATGTCCGTTTGGGGCTTTGGGCATGTCCGTTTGGGCATTTTAGTTTATAATTGTGGCAATCTATTTCACAAAGATATTTCGGTCATAATTGGGTTTAATAAAACAGAAGCAGCATATTTCAGATACTTTGAAGTGTCTCAGTTAGTCTAATCCTCTGGGTACATAAATGTACGGCTTGGTCTTTAGCTTGTGTACATCAATAAAAAGTAGAAAAAACACGTTTTCTTTTATTTTAATAAAAACAAGCTGTCAAACAATTATCCCTTCAATAAGTTATATTGAAGCCATAAATCATTCACTGATTACAGGTTTGTTACCTTTGATGAGGTGTCCTTAGCTTATCTTTATCAATAGAATTAATGATGCATAACAATGTACATAAAGGTAATCCGGTAAACGAGGTCAAACATGTAAGCGTGTATGGAACAACATCCTATTTAATTACGCTTTATAGATATTATTTTAAATGAGCATTCAGTTTTAAAAGTATCCTGATATTTAAAAGTTATTCTTCAAATAAGGACATTTATAAATGAATAAGTATGATATATATTATTTTATTTAACACTGTACATCGTGTTAAATACTGGGGTACTCTCAAGGGGAAAATTTACTAAAATATATAGGAAAAACCAATGGACAAATTTCAGTCAATAAATGATTTGAATAAGTTAAATGGTGCCGTGATCACTTCTAAATTATATCAAGAGAACAATGCCTGCTCCGAATTTATTCAGACAATTTCCGATGTTATAGAGAAAGAGGTGATGTCCGACGTAAAGTTAAGTCCCGCCGTGGGAATTATGATCGACTAAGGTGTAGTCTAGGTATTGACGCTTTAGATCAACTTATGAGGATAAGCTTAGTAGGTGTAGATGTTAAAAACTTTGACCCTGTTCCTGCTATCCGCAAATGGCAATCCGTTCGTAACCGCCATGTTTATCAGAACAATGCATTTAGCAAGCTCATGAATGTAAAATCTTTAATTAGACTAAATGAACTCTAATCTTGTGCTGTGATCTGTGCTTCTTTTCAATGTGCTCATTGTAATATTTATTGCGTGTGTTTGTCAGCATTGTGCTCTTCTGACATTTTATTGTTGTTATATGCTTACATAAAATATCATGTTGTTATTCATTAAATTATTTATCAACTGAGTATGTTTTTATTTATTCCTTATTTTCTAAATCAGGTTGGGAAATTGTACAAAGAAAAATGTTATCACTGTTCAGTAGATTTTACACGGTTTAAAACAATATCCTTCATCGGGCCTCCTCAATATTATCTATAAATACCGCATCAGTTGTAAAAGTCACGTGGTCAGGTAATCAATACACAAAAAGAAAAGTATCACGTGTATTGATGATCAAGTTGTACTGCAATTAAAGCCAACATCAACAGTTTCAAATAAGATGGCCTTAATTTACAAAGTGTTAAGTACTCACAGAGAGAAGATAGATTATATAAACAGAAACAAAAACATGAGAACAGTCAGGTACTGAAGCTGATTGATGCAATGATGGTTACTGTATTACGATACACAGAAAAATGACACAATACCGAGGATAATATTTTAGAATGAAGAAAACAAAACAGTTATAAATAATTTTATTGCATATAACACTACTAATTATTTAGACACATATATCAATTTATGCATCCTCTCAGTTACATTTAAGTATCCAGCTGATCATTGACCGTCAAAAATATTTCTTTGAAAAATGTCCGGCTGTCGTCAGGAAATTTTGGAAGCCCTGCTCTGGTATCTTTTGCCCCTCTTTGATTAAGTAGAACTGTAAATTCAGATTTTTTGCTATATTTTTTTAATTATAAAAATTGCGATGATATAGGTGTCACAAAAATAAAACTCACATTTAAAATTTTGATACCTATATTTGAATGCAGCATTTTTTGAAATCACAATAATTAAACTCATATTTTTTGTCGATTGTTCTACAATCAAAAAAAGCAATTGTAAATGCAGCCAATAATTTCTGAATCTACAGTGGTAGTTTTTGAAAAAATTGCAGTGAAACTTTCATACATGACCATTATGTCAAAAATATGTATTGCATGAAGTTAATTATGAGTGATGAATGTGAAAATCCATCACATAGTGAAGCATGCCCCTTTGAAGCTTGAATTTTGCACAGTGAAAGGAACAGCCCAGAGCTAAAAATAGAAAGTATCAATATGGAATTAATGTTTGTTACCTTCCATTCTAGGTCGTCCATCTATCACAATAACTCTGAATTTTATACCATGTTCATGTGCTGTACGTAAAACTCTTAACACCAATGACGAACTGTAAAGAGAAATGATGTAATAAAACTCAACACGAATGGTAATTTGTCAAAAGAAAAATATAATTCAAAACTTGATGACTTGAAATTAGGTTGGACTGATAAATATATAAAGAACAGAACTCACCTACTCATTAAGTCATACACTACATTGTCATCTTGAATGATGATTATCTTATCAAATCCTGATTGAGAGTGTACATGGATTCCTCTGTACCCTTGCAGGTCTTGAGAGGTGCTCCGAAAAACGGAGGGATCTAAGTATACATATATAAAGGGACATAAGTCACAAAGTCATACAATACATTGACATCTTTAAGGATAATAATCAAATCAAAGGGACATAACTCACAACGTCACACAATACATTGACATCTTCAATTGTGATTATCTAATCAAAGGGACATAACTCATCAAGTCATATAATACACTGACATCTTCAATTGTGATTATCTAATCAAAGGGACATAACTCGCCAAGTCATACAATACACTGACATCTTCAATTGTGATTAACTAATCAAAGGGACATAACTCACAAAGTCATTCAATACACTGACATATTCAATGGTGATTATCTAATCAAAGGGACATAACTCACCAAGTCATACAATACACTAACATCTTCAATTGTGATTAACTAATCAAAGGGACATAACTCACAAAGTCAAACAATACATTATCATCTTCAAGGATGATTACTGTGAATTCAGAAATTATTGCAAGGGTTTTATTAATGCAAATAATGCAACTTTGTGATTTATAGTATCTAATCAAAGGGACATAACTCACCAATTCATACAATACACTGACATCTTCAAGGAAAATTTTCTAATGAAAGGGACATAACTCACCAATTCATACAATACACTGACATCTTTAAGGAAAATTATCTAATGAAAGGGACATAACTCACCAAGCATATACTACAATGACATCATTATCAACTATCTTCTTGTCCTCTATAACAAATGTAGAGATAGCTTTTGCTGGGAGGATAATTTTAATCTTTATATACTCATCAATACTCTCGATTAAGTTCTGTTTTGCCTAAAAAAAAACAAATATTGATAATTGTTTGAATATTTTTTTTTCAGTTTGTTTGATATTCATACATTTTGTTTTAAAAATATCTTGAGAGGTTAAGTCTGTGCAGATTGATGTCCTCTGCATTCACTAGCAATAACACAGTTTTCATATTAGATTTGCGTCGATAATTCATTTTACTATATATATTGTGATGATTGACGGATGGCTGCATAAAGTTACTATGCATATTCAGGACAAGAACAGGCTTTAATGTAATGTAAATATTTAGCCTGCTTTTTCTAGACTGAAGAGCTGAGTGGATTTTTTATGTGCAAGGTAACAGTTCGCAGGAAAGCATGTCACCTTACCCAGACACATTATTATGACTCCAAGCAGATCAGTCTTTGATCTTACTCCCTTATGTGGGGTGCTTAGCCAAAAAGCAGCAAATACTAATTTTAATGTCTTTGGTTTTACCTTACCTGGGTTCAACCACATAACATTCTGCACTCAAGGCAAACACGCTACCAAGAAACCACAGAGGCGGTTACAAATTTTTTCCTGAACATTTAGGCCACAAAAGATAAGGAAGACTTTCATACAACCTTAAGACAGATTATATTTTAATTGTGCTATGCATAAATTTCAAGGGGAGGTAGGGGGTCTAGGAATTGAGGGTCTTAATTGTATGCAAAAAATATTGCCGATCAAAGTGAGGTGATTTTTTTTAACAATCTTATGCAAGATAACTAAATGTTTGATGATCAAATGGGGACTATGCCCTCTAGAACCCATCTGGATCCCCACTGTGTTTAGCCTAACAAAGTCTATATCTAGAAAAATATAATAACAAATGTTAATTAAAGACAGGCAAAAGATACCAAAGTGATAATCTAATTCTTAAGTTGAAAACAAACTGATAATGCAATGGCAAAAACTAAAAACAACCAAATAAATAACAATTATTTTACTTACCTCATTATCAGAAAGATCTCTGGTGCCACATGATATATTATATTTTAGATATTTTATGGCATTTCCCATACTAACAGACATAAGTCGACACTGGTTTAAAAAACTACAACAGAAAACAATATTTTATTGTGATTTTGAAGTGTAAAATTCTTTTTTCTGTGCATGTGGCGATTCTAAATATCAGCACTTTTTATGGTGAGGTTCTAAAATCTTTACAGCTCTATTCATGGTAGTGATGACATTCCCCTGATGAAAACATTGCTTCTTTTATATTATATATAAAGTACTAAACATGCTGAGCACATGCACAATCTTTAACTATAGGGATCAAGTCAATAATTGCAGAATATGACTAATGTCAAACTTAATTTTTAATTATTCACCAGGAAAACACTTAAATAGTTCAGCTGTAAATAATGATTGGTTGAGTTTTGGTGCTTGATGTCACTTCCAACAAACTTAGTTCTACCATGGCATATACCAAGGCGACCAGTTTTTATTGATGGATGAAGCAGCGGTAATCAGAGAGAAAATCACACCTTTGACAGGTAGACTGGCAACCCCAGTTAATGAAGATCAGCTTCGAAAGTACCTTATTGAAGTTGGATTTGAACTCACAAAATTAAAGAGGAGTATACATATACATAAAAGGTTACTCTAAACAAGAATATGTCCACAGTACACAGATGCCCCACTCGCACTATAATTTTCTATGTTCAGTGGACCGTGAAATTGGGGTCAAAACTCTAATTTGGCATTAAAATTAGAAAGATCATATCATAGGGAACATGTGTACTAAGATTCAATTTGATTGGACTTCAACTTCATCAAAAACTACCTTGACCAAAAAACTTTAACCTGAAGCGGGACAGACGGACGGACGAACTGACAGATGAACAGACGCACAATGCCAATAAATGGGGCATAAAAATAATGAGAAAGAATTACTTTTATAACTAGTGTTGACAGGGTTGTGATCATTGAAGATGCCCTACTTCGACAGAAAAGTGGCATTGTTGTATATCATGTATATGTACCTTATGATTAACTTTCAGTGAGTCAATTTATTTGGTAGTTATATTTTAGGGCTATTCCAGAAAAAACTGTATGGGGGGGTTGGAAGGCACTTTATATTAATAATACATGGGTGATGGGTATCAGAGCAACTTTTCACACTATAATGCACTATGATTCTCAATTACAATTGTCTGGGTGGCGGGTTCTGACAAAAACTGCCTTCCAACCCCCCCATACATTTTTTTCTGGAATAGCCCTTACCTGATATCTGATCCAAGGATCCAGAAAAATTTTCACACAATTTTGGTCATTTTGAATTTGAGATAACTTAAAAGTTGGTGCCCTTTTAAAAAAAAAATTGTTGAAATCACACTAGGTTCATAGCATCAATGAACTTGTTTTGACTGTTTCATCACATTTTCTTCATGAACTTTCTTACCATTTTACTAAAACAAAATATCTCCAAAATCCAAATCCGTCGTTTTAATAGGACATATCGATTTCGGATTTGGTCATGTCTGGCAAATATGACCATTTCCGGACCCTTGATCTGATCTTATTCTAGCTAAGCAATATTCAGACAATACCTTCCTTGATAATGATGGATTGATTGGAGTTCTAACATCCAGTTTCAGATATTACATGTTTATATGAGATTAATTGATATTTGTTATTGTAGACAAGATAGAGTTACCTTATATATGGTTTAATTCTAGCCTCTAAATCCCTTGACAGTTCTTTATGTGCTGGTGTTGTGTAATCTGCTATTACCTATAAACAAAAAATAATTATACATGTTTCAAAGACCCAGTCTTCTAAATGTGACTGTATAATAATAATAATAATAATAATAATAATCTTTATTTCAAGAGGGTATGCTCAATTAGTACAAACACTATTCTCCCTTGAGGCCCTCTCACTCCACTCACAATAAATCACACAATTTCATCATAACAAAGATAAACATAAGAAAACATAATCAAAATTGATACATAATCATTTAAATAATTCCAGGATTTTCAAGTAAAAACTTAAAGCAGTTTGTTTTAAAAGTATTTATGTTTGACATGTGTCTTAGTGCTTCTGGTAGTTTATTCAATAAAGTTGGGCCAGAATATGAAAAAGATCTTCTAAATGTGTTTGTTCTTGCCTTTGGTATATTAAGTAATTGGGTAGTATTTGATCTAAGCTGTATTCCATTTTTATTTGTAACATAGGAGATTTTGTTAGACAAATATTCTGGGACAGATCCATATAAACATTTATGAACATATAAGGCCTTGTGGTAAATTACAAGATCAGTAAATCGAAGCCATGATAACTTTTTAAACATTGTATTAGATGGGGTATCATAAGGAAGTTCAAGAATAATTCTAGCTGCTCGTTTTTGAAGTTTATCTAATCTATTTGTATTTTGGTCACTGGTGTTTCCCCAAATTGTACAACAGTAATCCAAAATAGGGAGAATATAACCATTAAACTATAACTTTCGTGTTTCCAAGGGGAGGGATTTCTTTATCCTAGACAAAAGATTTAGCCTGGTACTGATTTTTGTGCACAAAGTGTCAATTTGGGCTGTCCACTCAAGATTTTCATCAATAAAAACCTCTAGGAGCTTTTCGCCATTAACATCTCTTATGTGGGAGTTACCAACAGTCAAATTAAGAACATGGTCTGTTCTTGCTAGTTTCTGTCTATAACCAATAACCATAGATGTAGTTTTTGTTGGATTTATATACATCTTATTTCCCTTGCACCATTCTTCAATTCTGTCTAAATCATTCGTAATGCTGTCCTGGATGGTATTGAGACTACGACCTGTGCAGTGAATGGTAGTATCATCTGCATAGAGGTCTGCTTGAGATGAGGTTATATGAAGGGGCAAATCATTAATGAACAATAAAAATAAAAGGGGGCTTAATATGGAGCCCTGAGGTACTCCAGATTTTATTTCTAGTGCCCTTGACTTGATTGTCCCATTTTCAACTTGTTGGAATCTATGAGATAGATATGATTTAAACCAGTTACATGATAAATTTGAAATTTTGTAGCACTGCAGTTTTTGAAGAAGGATAATGTGATCTACCAGATCAAATGCTTTTTTAAAATCTAGGAAGATAATACCTATAATTTCTCCATCATCAATGGCTTTCAACCACTGATCAATAAGTTTTAGTAAAGCAGTGTGACAAGAGTGGTGGCTTCTAAATCCAGACTGACTTGCATGAAGGAGCTTATATTTTAATAGGTATCGGTAAAGGTGTTTGCAGACATGCTTTTCAAAAATCTTTGAAAGAGTAGGCAAAATAGATATTGGTCTATAGTTGTCGACAGTATCTTTAGGACCCTTTTTATGACTTGGCATGACACGGGCATTTTTAAGCTCAGAAGGAAATATACCAGCAGTGATACTCCTATTTATAATATAAGCTATTGACGTTGAAATAACTTCTGATGATAGTTTAAGTATGCGAGGACTGATCTGATCAATGCCTGTAGCTTTTGCAACATTTAAATTGCTAAGGCAGTCCTTAACTTCTGCAACTGTAATTAAGGGGATGTAAAACCAAGTATCTTGAGGTACTTTTAATTTGCTGCTACCTCCTCATAAATCTTATTACTATCAAATTTGTATGATTTAGATGTTGATAGGCTATCTTTCGGGGCAATATTTATAAAATGTTTGTTAAAAGCATCAACTATATGCTGAGTTTCTGTGATAACACCATTGTGTGTCTTAAGTTGTGATGGAAAAGGAGAACTTTTAGTTTGGTTGATCCCCTTGACATATTTCCATAATTCTTTTGGATTTTTAGCCTGTTCAATAGATGTTTTATAAAAATTGTTTTTTGCATCATCTATAAGTGATGTGCTTTTGTATAAAGAATTAATGGCATAAAATGTGTGATCAAAATATCTGATACAAGCAAGAAGAACAGTTCCTGGAACATGAAATTGCTCTTAAAAAGTCAATATAAACATAATAAACAGTGGCGAGTCCAGGGGGTTGAAACCCCCCTTTTTTGACGATCAATGCATTTGAATGGGGACATATATATAGTCGGAACCCCCCTTTTATCCTGGGTTGGGAACCCCCCTTTTAAAAATGGCTGGATCCGCCCCTGATAAAAATAAACTGTCTTCAGTTTTCAATTCTTTAAAGCTAGGATACTGCTGCTAATTCTAAAATTTGTGCATGCATTTAATATTAAAATGTTTTAATAATGGACAAAAAATGTGAGACTAACTATTGTAATTTCAGTAAATGCTGCATACATATATTAAAGCTACTTTGGATTTACTTTTTTTCATGGATACTAATTTTTATGATAGTTGAAAAGTGTATAAATATTTTCATGGGTTTTTTATTTTGTGATTAAGTCAAATTGTTGCATTCAAGCCTATAGAAACAAGCATTCTGCGAGTATTGCATGGCAATACATAGTCCCTACCAGTTAAAAATTCATTGTATTGGAACAAAATTATAACTTGATCTATAACTTGTCATGGTGTAAACTATATAACAAATATCTAGTCAATATCTTCAAGCATGACGAAAAAAAGTGTTGAAAACTGATTATTTAAGTGAATTTTCTAAGTCCAAGGACCATAACTCTGCACAAAATCATCAGACCGGAACAAAATTCGAACTTGAACTGTAACTTGTCATGATAAAACTATATACCAATTATCAAATCAATATCTTCAAGAATGACAAAAAAAAGTGCGGAAAACTGATTATTTTAGTGAATTTTCTAAGTCAATGGACCATAACTCTGCACAAAATCATCAGACCGGAACAAAATTCAAACTTAATCTGTAACTTGTCGTGATTAAACAATACACCAATTATCAAATCAATATCTTCAAGCATGAAGAAAAAAAGTGTGGAAAACTGATTTGCCGGACTGACGGATTGACAGACATACTGAGTGCAAACCTAAAGTCCCCTTTGACTTCGTCGGTAGGGGACTAATTAGTACCTCCCTGAACATTTAAATTTAAATTAAAACCTACATCCACGAAATTTGTGAAAATTGGTATTAAACCCACGAATAATAATGAATCCACAGTATCAGGAAAAAAAATTCTGAATTTACAGTATATGAAATTTGGGGACTACACTGATCATGATGGTAGATCACACTAAGCCTAACATTTAACATGTTTAATACAATCTTAAATAATCGCTAATCAAACATTAATAAAATAAAGGTACTGATTTAACTTCAACTCGCATGGTCAAATATCTAGGAATAGACCAACATTCGTCAGGCTTAGTGGACCTCTAAATAAATTTACCATAAACCTGTTTATATGCAACTAGCATTAGACCTTCATTTGTTAGCCTTAGTGGACCACTAAATAAATAAACCATATACCTGTTTCAATGCACTAGCATATGGCCAAAAATCTAGCAATAGACCAACACTTGTCAGCCTTTGTGGACCCTAAAATAAATTGCCCATTACCTGTAAAAATGCAACATACATGTATTCTTGTACATGACCAAATATATATCTAGTGTTAAATCTTTTTTCAGTCAGGGGTAATACAAGTGTTTTCTATTTACTTGTTCAGGTTAGTTATTTTAGAGGTAAAGTTATATCTTTTAGAAATTCTAGAGGTAAAGTTATATCTTTTAGAAATTCAGATTTTTTAACCATATACCTGTTTAAATGCCACTAACATGGCAAGACACCTTGCATTAGACCCACAAATAACACCTTCAGCATACTGGACCCCTGCTTAACCACTTACCTGTTTAAATGCCACTAACATGGCAAGACACCTTGCATTAGATCCACAAATAACACCTTCAGCATACTGGACCCCTAGTCTAACTATGGCTGGATGTATAGTGGAATTTCTAAAACTGCAAAAGAAAATGATTTACCTTCAATACAGCATGTACAGTTACTGAGATGACTTCATTGATTCTTTAAAACTATAGTTTAACTAGAATGTATGTCAAAACATGCTATAGGACACCATGCCCTCCAGTCTCACCATCTTATTTCTATGTTCAGTGAATTGTTTTAAATCTTGGTCAAAAGTTTTAATATAATTTTGTATATATGCCAACAGTTAAATTCATAATGACACAAGTGTACAACATTTTAAGTTGATGTGAACACAAACTACCCTATTAAAGACTTTGGCCTTATACTAAAACTTTTGATTACCTGATACCAGAGGACAAGACTTTGTGTTAGTGACAACCCTTTCTCATAAGCCATAAATCATCACAATAAACATTGTGCTAGTGAGCCCTCGCACTCATCAGTCAAAAACTCACAGCTTTCCTTTTGTAAACTTGTGACAGCTACATCTCGTCAGCCATAAACTCACAGAAAAATATGTGTAAGTGAGCCCTCTCACTCATAAGTCATAAATACTCACGATAAACTTTGTGTTAGTGACACCTCCCTCTCATACTGGTGTAGATGTTCAAACAACCTGACTTGACGTTGAACTTTTGTGCGTTGAGGTATTTTCTGTTTCTCTAACTTCTTAGCCATTTTTTTCTGTGCTTGAACATCGTCTGCCATTAAATGGTCTGGAACTCTCTTAGGTTCTATCTTAGCCACTAAAATAGTCAAATATATCTATATTTCAGGGTGAGAAAATATAATATGGTGTAACTGGCCAAATTGGCAAGTTTGTTCTAATATTGACTTGCCCTCAATGAAATATACCAGCTATTTTAATAGCATAAATAAATGAATTTACTAGTGGATAAGTTAAAGCTTGCTCTATACAGTCAAGGGTATAACTTAAATAAGTTACTAGAGAAAAATAACATACATGTGTTATTACAGATACTTTCATGAGTTGTCTACTCTTTGTTTCTAAAATTTTCTTAATCTGTAGTAACATACATGACATATGTTTGTTATTTGTTAAAAAAATCATAAATATTTTCATTTTTAGTGGGCACATGGGAATTCTTGAAACTTTGCACAGTAACTTAATCAATGTTAATACATAGCCTTGATATCTAATTTTCCAATTAAATTAATACATTTTTTATCAACCATGGTAAATCATTGAAACAAGGCTTTTAAGCTATGAACTTTGCTGTAATAACAAGGCGCATGTAACTTATTATATGAGACACTTGGGAATTACTTGGAAGTTTGTGCAGAACCTCATTACATGCTCTGATCATTATTTCTTACAATAAATTAAAACACATTGTGATTAAGTATGATACATGTCTGAGCAAAGGCTTTGAAGTGATGTAGAGAAGCTGTAATAATACCTTTAGTTATTACAGGCAAATTTTTTCTGTAATAACATAGGTGTACTATGCATGATTGGCAAACTATGAACTGTAATATATCTTTCTAAAGTTTAGTATACATAAAGACAATAATAATATCAATAGAACTTGTATACAATTTAAAAAAACAAAGGATGTGTATTGCCCCTTTGAAACATGTAACATACATATGTTATCACATTTTTTTTTCTTTCTAAGTTATACCCTTGACTGTATACAGTAAACCTCAGTAGATTTGATAATTAACTGTTGACACAGAGATAATGTCTTGCTGTATGTAATGTTGATAGTAAAATGCAAACATTGAAATTTAAACATCATGTTAAATGGTGTAAACTATGCACAATATTCAAAGTAAATGTGCCATGACAAAAACTAAATGGGCAGAACCAAATGACATATACAACTCAGACAACTGTATACCACATATATATATCATTGACTTTCCTTTAAACTGTACAAACTTGTAACATGACTGAGGGGTCAAATAATCTCCATGGATATAAATACAATTGGTTTCCCTCAAACTGACCTAATCACAAACTTTGACATGTAAACAATGCAAAAGTTCCAAAGTTAATAAACCATGACTGAGGGGCGGGACCATATAATCTCAATAGAAATGAGATTTATTAATGCTAATGCAATTGCATACCAAATATCATTGACTTACTATTAGTGGTTGTTCATCCTAAACTAACCTAATCACAAACTTTATCATGTGTAAAATATGCAAAAAATTTGAAAGTCAATTGAACATGACTGAGGGGCATGGCCAAATAATGTCCATGGATGTGAGATTTGCTTATGCTATATACATTTAGTAACCATAAATGGTTTCCCTTAAACTGACCTAATCAGTTGCTGCAGGATAGTTTCATATACTGTAAATGCACAAATTTCAACAAAATTAAGTCCTGTGGAGTCTTGTCAAAGCAATGAAAGCATGTTTGAAGATCTTTATATTTTGTGGTTTCAAAAAGAAACAGAATAAAATGCTTCGCTGAGCACAGCCACATACGACCGCAGAGGTCTAACCCTGAACAGTTGGGGCAAGTTTGGACACAATATTCAAGCTTGATACTGTCTGAATTTGGATTGTGATCAAATTTTTGACATAACATAGGTTTCTGACACAAAATAAATGTGGTCAAAGATCTTAAAAATTTGAAATGGGACATTTAATTTACCTAGAATGGTCTGATATTCAAAATCTAACAACATGGTTAGATTCAGCATATAAAAAAACACCAAAAATTTAATTTAGATGACATGGATGAAATCAAACAAAGTTTAATTTTAGACCCTTCAAACCTTAATACGGACTAATTTGAAAACAGGACCCAAAATAAAAAATCTAAATGCACAATAAGATTCAGCATATCATACAGCCGCAATAATTCAGTTTTTGATGAAATCAAACAAAGTTAAATTTTGGACCCTTTTGACCTCAATGTAGACCAATTTAAAAATGGGGTCCAATATCAAAAAGAGTAATCAAGGTTAGAACACCCAAAATACAGTGCTATTGCGCAACACTGTGCAATTGAAGATTTCTTGCTATTGCGCAATACTGTACATTGAAGATTTCTTGCTATTGCGCAATACTGTGCAATTGAAGATTTCTTGCTATTGCGCAATACAGTGCAATTGAAGATTTCTTGCTATTGCGCAATACTGTGCTCAGTGATCTCCCCAGGCAGTTTTAGCGTCTTTGCACCACGACGCTGTAATTTTTTTCCCGTGACGCTATAATAATTTCTGCGACGCTAAAATTATTTTGAGGATGCTATTTTTTCTTGTCTCATACATTGCCGCAAAATCGATGTCCTAATTTTTGAACTTTCATCTAATTACCACTTGTGATCATAAAAATTATATCACCTTTAATTGTAATCCATTCAATTGGGACAATAGAGGCAATTAAGAGTGATTAAATGTGAATTACCTTTTGGTTGATAACTGTTTGGATACAAATACCCCAAGCTGACACTTATGTCAGTTATGACATGACTAATAACACGTGGTCCAATCGCAAATTTTGAAATCGAGAAAATGGAATCAGAAAATCATAAACAATTAAAAATCTACGTTTGAATCATGACATAACCGTCTCCTAAGAGATGAAATAATTACGCGGTGTACCTCGATGTTGACAAAATGGCTGACCAAACCAAGGTGTACAATTTTTTTTCATGTCGATTCAACAGCAATTTTTTATTTATAAGTAAAGAAATTCAAAGATATAAACGATTTATTCCTTTAGAAAAGAGGTGAAAGCACTGACTTTTCAGATTGGTCGTATGCATGGTTACTCGAGAGCGTACAATAAACATTCTGATTTTCGGCAAAATAAGTTTGATACTTCATTAGAACATGATGAAAATTGCCTTTGGTTAATGTTTCATCCATTTATTGCATAAAAAGCGTCATATTCATTCCAAATCGCTTGTCAAACATTGTTTATTTTCGTTATTTTTTCTTCGACTGCCATTGGAATATTTGTACAAACTACGGATTGGAAGCGGGATTCATCGGAAGCGGACCCGCTATGACCAAAATCCGCATTTTTTCGATAATAACTACAAATGCACAAATGGCACAGCTGACAGAATAATAATGATCCCAAAAGGGAAAACTATGCTTTCCACACGCATTAACAGACTTTTTATTAGATCTCCTTGCTAAATGTATTTATTTCTATGTAAATGCATTGTTTCGATTTACTGATTAAAGTAGCTTAACTTTGTAAAAAAAATATAAAACCAAATGTGTCTTTGGACGACACCATTGCATTATACGACGCAAAAATTTTTTTATGGTTGTATAAAAACTTGAATTTGGTGTGTCCAAGGCATTTTTCGGGATTTACTTTCACCAGAAATGGTGAAGAAGAGCTGGCATCCCTAATGTTACTGGGATCAAATTACTCCTTTTTTACCTAAAGTAGGATTGGTATCACAACTGGGACCAGACTTGTCTTTATAACCTTAAGCAGACTTGGAATACTTAATGGAACCAGAATCTCTTTTAAAAACCCAAATCTGAGCTGGTTTCCTAACTGGGACTGGACTTCTCTTTTCGACCCAAAGCAGAGCTGGTATCCTTATTTAGATCAGAATCTTTTTACATTAACATGATGAAGCAGAACTCCTTGGACTCTTTTACCTGACGCTGAGCTTGCATCCTTTATTCTAGGACATTTTTTTCTGAATCAATTTATTACCTGAAGCAGAGCTGGTATCCTTGCTAGATCTTTATTTACCTGAAGCAGAGCTGGTATCCTTGCTAGATCTTTATTTACCCGAAGCAGAGCTGGTATCCTTGCTAGATCTTATATTAACCTGAAGCAGAGCTGGTATCCTTGCTAGATCTTTTTTTACCTGAAGCAGAGCTGGTATCCTTCCTTGAACCTTTTTTTAACTGAAGCAGAGCTGGTATCCTTGCTAGATCTTCATTTACCTGAAGCAGAGCTGGTATCCTTACTGGAACGTTGTTTACCTGAAGCAGAGCTGGCATCCTTCCTGGAACCTTGTTTACCTGCAGCAGAGCTGGCAACCTTCCTTGAACCTTATTTATCTGAAACAGAGCTGGTATCTTTCCTGGAACCTTGTTTACCTGCAGCAGAGCTGGCAACCTTCCTTGAACCTTATTTTCCTGAAACAGAGCTTGTATCCTTGCTTGAACCTTATTTACCTGAAGCAGAGCTGGTATCCTTGCTTGAACCTTATTTACCTGAAGCAGAGCTGGTATCCTTGCTTGAACCAGAAGTTCCAGTTTCTTTTTTCTGATCTTTTAAAGCCCTCTGTTGTTCCTACAATAATATCATATATAATCAAAATTCATAATTTATGTTTTATCATAAAATAATATTTTATTATACTGCAAATGAGTCCTTGAAAAATATCAATTAAATATAAAAAGAGAATTTCATTTATTATATGATTATATATTTTCTTGTTTTTTTTCCATTGTAATCAACTCTGCAAAAATCTTGTATAAATTCTAAATATATAAGATTTAGAGTTCAGCTCATGTACGTAAATATAGTAATGGGAGATTTTTTTGTGACCTATTACAGGGATGTATGAATACAATGTTTTTTATTGGATGACTGAATAAATATGAACCAATAACACCCTTTCGTCATAAAAGCATTTCAATCTTGCAGGTATCAGTTATTTGTTTCCAGGAATGAAATACATGTATGACAGGAGCAACCGGAGCAGCTGACAAAAGGTTTTGCAACATTAAACAATAATAAATAATATTGATTTTAGCATGTTTAGTAGAAAAGGACACTAAAAATACTGGCCAATCAAAGGACTCGAAAAATACTGGCCAATCAAATTACTCTATAAATAATGGCCAATCGAGTGAATCACCTAGCCGACCGTGCGAGGGCTGTATAGCCAGTCAATGTCGTTAAAAAATCCCATCATCAATCACCTGACAATTACCAGTATTCACCATCAAGAATGAGTTTTACCTGAATCGGTCCTCTATATTATTACCATGTGATTACACTTGTGCACTTACAAAGGGAATAATGTAAATTCAGAAAATTTTGTTGCATTTAATTTAGTATTGCCAATTTTTTTCTTAAAATGAACAAAAATGATAAAAATAATATGTAGTTTTAGAAAATGTTGCATACAATAAATGGCATTCAAATTTAAATGCAAATGTATACTTTTGTCTATTAAAAATAAAAATTTTGCAAGATTTTCTGAAGTTACAACTTAATAGTTTTACCTGTAATGCCCTTCTCTCGGCCTTTAATTCTGCCTTACTTTTCTGTGGTTTGTTTGGATCTGTCTGACTACCATTATTTGAGGTCTTCTGTTGTCCTTTAGGTTTTTGTCCTTTACTTGGGTCTGTTTGATTTGTTACATCTGTGGGCTTCTCTTCTGTCTTTGCTCTTGGAGATTTGCTACCATCGGATGTTTTCTGTTGACCTTTACAATCACCAGACGGATTACCTCCCTTTCCACCTTTTGGTTTTTTGTCTTTCTTTTTTCCTGGTGTTGATCCTTGATCTTTCACTTTATCTTGACCTGATGCTCCCAATTTGTCTGACATAATTCAATCTAAAAATAGATAACTGCATGTAAAAACTGTGTTAAATTTCCATACTTTATAAGGGTCCACCCATAGGGAATTTGAAGGACCTGACAATATTAATTGCAACTGGTTCTACTGGCCGGCCTTCACAATTTTAGTTGTTATGAAGACCCCTGATTTGTACTTCCAAAAATTGTACCTAAAATTTTAAATCTTTAAACTTCAAGCATGTCAAGTCTTGTAAAAAATTATACAAGTAATTGTTTTTTAACCCTGAAATCCTCAAGTTTTGGAAGTCAAAACATGCCTCAAACATTTTTTCCCGCAAACTTGTATAAATGAATAATGAAGATGAACATTTTTTTTTTTTGTTTGTGTACGAATTGAAATGAGTCTAGAGCTTATTCAATATACAAAATAAGTTTTCTAGTGGAAACTCACCTCAGATCAATCAGGCAGATTTTTGTATCTGTACACTGATCAGTAATAAATCAACTTTGCATATTCGTTGTTTTAAGGCATAAATTATTATTAGAGATGTCAACGAGTACTCGAGTATTCGAGTATAGCTTGGTAATACCGAGTATTGAATACCAAAACGATATTCGACTAATCGGTTTCCTGTAAGAATATTGCTGTCTTCTTTTTATAAAATTGATCTTCTTGAGAACCTCTTTCGGAAAATTAGATAGGCATCACTGATTATTCATACTACATGTACTAGTAAATAAAATACATTTTGTTTGGAATGCTTATGCTAAATTGTCATTTAAATTCCTCCGAAAATACGTGGGCTATACCCAGGCTAACAATTTAAACTAAACATGGCATTGCCATTCCGTCACATTGGTACAGTCAGAACATCATCTGCAAGACTGTAGTTTACAAAGTTGCAAAACTGACTGTTCCCTATAATAGTTGACAAGAAAATGTGTCCAAATTCAATAAGTTTATTGCATCCTATGGTGACCTTCAGTGAATAGCTAAACTTCTTATCACGCCTTTGTAAACATGAAATGTTTTTTCTTAACGATTACCAAATACTATTGTTTGATATGGTTTTTCCTTGTTATAATTTTTAAATAGGTGTTCATTAAATTATATTGATTAGATTATTGTTTTTACTTCATTAGTACTTGTAGCTAATAAGCTCTTAATTAAGGTGTGTAATTCTCTGTCCCAGATACTTGTGCAATGTAGATGGTTTTTCGTCTGTTGAACAACAAACCACAGATTGTAAAATATGTATTTTTCTGTTTCCGTGTTGTAGATATATTACTGAGCGAGTACTCGAGTATCGCTCGATTATTGATAAAACCAACGAGTACTCGATTAGTAATTGTTAACGGAGTTGACATCCCTAATTATCATATTATCAATTAAACTATATACATATACTTTAAAAGAGAGGCGAAAAATACCGAAGGGACATTCAAATCATAAGCTGGATATAAACTGACAATGCCATGGCTAAAAAAGAAACAGACAAACAGATAAAACAAAAGAAAAAAACGCTACCTGAAGATAGAGTTTCTTTGTTTACATTGAAAATGACATCATATATAAAATTCCTAACAAACGCCCCAACATTGGATATGTTTTTGTAATTCAGTTACTTTTTCGCCAGAAATTATTCACGGAATTTTTTTACAATAAATATAAAAATAAGGAGATGTGGTATGATTGCCAATAAGACATCTATCCACCAAAATTCAAATGAAGTGGATATAAGCAATAAAAGGCAACTGTACGGCCTTCAACAATAGGAAAACCCATACAGTATAGAAGCCTATAAAATGTTCATAAATAAATATATAAATCTGCTGTTAACGGGATATCATTAGGTATTCTAAAAGTTTGATGTCTTCATTCCATTTCACAGGTAACACCTGCTTCAAATTAGATCATGCAACATGCATCTTTCGATTCTGAATGTAAACCAAATGTACTGATTTGATTATAAACTAAGAAATGAATTTGGGAATTATGATACAAAATTTCTTCAGATTATCATGATTATCAAGTTGCAGTTAATATTCGAGTATTTACTTTTAAACTACAAAAGTGATTCGATTATGATCGATAATTGTTGATATTTGGCATGAAATTATGTCAAAAAAGTCATGTATCATGTGTATGTTCTGTTTTACGATTAAGAGTATAACCTTGTACTTGTTTAAAAAGGGGGTTACCATGGTTACTGATTTGCATAAATTAATAAAAGCATGTGTTTGACTTGTTAAACTTTTTTCTTCATAATTGAATTTACATTTTATTTCTAAATCTAAATTTTCTTAGCATTTGCTCAAAAGTAATTAAATGATGCAGGCCTTTAAACAAGGAATTATTTGAATCTGGAATAATTTTGAATTCTGGAAAATTGATGAGAAATATATGATGAAAACTAACCCAACTAAATAGGGTTAGCCATGCGCGCATGGCTAAGGTGGGTTAGTTAGTTCATACTGAAATGATAGTGAAAGTAAAATTAACCTTAGCCATGCATGCATGGCTAACCCTATTTAGTTGGGTTAGTTTTCATCATACATTTCTAATCAATTTTCCAGAATTCAAAATTGTTCCAGATTCAAATAATTCCTTGTTTTTACATTATTATTGTTTCGAACTTGTCCATTTAGACAAGTTGCAAGAAAATCAACTTGTCCGACGACCTCTTAACTCACTTGCCGGAATCTAAGGTTAAAAATTTTACATATTGATTATGTGCACAGTGACACTTTGGGCTTTTAGCGTACCTGATGAAGACAGTAATTTGTTGTATTATGTAAATTTGTCTGTAACAAAATAAAGAATACTACATCAAAAATCATTTTTATTATTTTCAAATATTAGTTACCATTCCAAAGTTAGATCTCTAACTCAATGTTTGTCTTAAGGTGGTACCTAACACTACAGGGAGATAACTCTGTAAAAATCAGCTAAACGTTTTAATTACGTTGTATTGTTAAGGAAATATTAAGCTTCTCAATGATCAAAATTAGTGTTTGTCAAACTGCTATATAACCAATGAAATTTTTCTGATAAAGTGGTTGGTTCAAATTTTTTGAAATTTTTATATTTTTGTCAAAGGGTTAAAGTAAAGGTTTTGTCAAAATTTTATGAAAATTAAACGAGCCAAATTAATATTAGTCAAGGTGTTGGGTACCACCTTAAATCTTAGCATCTTATTTTTGATACTTTTGTTTTTTCTATGAATTATTCTGTCCATAGTAAAATTTTAGTGAAACAGTAAAGTTTTGTGACAAATTGATAATAATCACAACATTCACAACTAAAATTATGGTCTATTGACCGATCTTCTTTTCTTGATTTTTTAGGACTTCTTTGCTCTAATATAATTTTTAATTGTCTTTCCTTTGCAGATGTCTTTACCAATCATTTAAGTGTAATTTCATGGACAATGAAAATCTCATTTGTCTGTTATCTTCAGAACACTGCTCATTACAAGCCCCCAAGGGGCAATTTTTGAAGGCCTAATGCGCAAATACTTACTTTGCGCAATCAGTTTCTTGATTGAATTTATGAGATGAAACATTGAACTCTAATAAAAAATTATGAGCTAACCTGAGAAAAATTGTTAAAGGCATGTTTTTACATCTCAAAACTTGAGAATGTTTGTGGGACTGTAAAAAAAATTTACTTATACAAGTAAATTTTTGAGAAAATTAAGGGGAGATTATTCAAACATTATAATAAACTTATATAAGTAATTATTATTTACTTCTTCAAGTAAATAAAGATTACTTGTACAAGTAGCACCCCTGACTGTATGTGTTTAACATGTTTAAAATTATGGTAAAATTACAAAATCACAATTTGTGACAAAATTTCGAATTTGCTACTAAAATAAGTGATTTTATAAATCACTTATTTCAGTAATTCCCCTGACTGATGAAAAAGCTTCTAAATTGTAATATGGTTTGTAAAACAAAAGCTTTAGGAAATTAACTCAATCTCTTGGCCAAAAAAAATGGAAAGATGATCTTCTTACAAATGATCAATGAATTGGTAAGGATTATCTGTCAGTTTTATAATTATGCAAATATAATGATTATTTGTACAACGCATTGTTAATCAAAACATTAAGAGCAATCTCGTGCAATCAAGCCTAATAAGTCTAGAACATATGAAAATGTATGAAACCATTTATCATGATTGGTCAATATACGTTGTTGACATTAGGGCAATAGAATGGAAATTGCTATTCCGGCGACCTGGATCTCTAAGGATTTATCTCCTTTGACAATGTTTGATATGAAAGCTTCTGTCAGCAATCATGTCAATCAATGAATAAACTGATCATAAATATCAGAATTAAAACTAAATTTAGACTTTGTTTGGTCAATAAAAGAATTGTTCATTTTTAAGCATTTGTAACTCTAAAAAGTATGATATGTTTTATAATATCATGGATTTTTTGTTTGTCCTGTCAGACAACTAATATGTAGAGTCTACTTGACCGATGCCTATGTCCACTTGTCCCGGACAATCGGACAAACGATAACGTCGAGCCCTGTGATGCAATAAATCGTCTCTCATGGTTAGGTGTTCTCCTGTCAGGTATCTCAAACTAACTGTACAAGTGAACAGTGATCGTTAGCCAGATATCCCTAAGGCATGTCAGGGCTTTAAAACAGTAATTAGGACAACTCTTTGAATTATAATACAATCTGGGCTTAGCCTATGCAATTACATGCAATTTATTATTGCTAACAAAAATAATCTGGGTTATGCAATTACATGCAATTTATTATTGCTAAAAAAAATGGTGGAGGCTAGGGAAACGAAAATAGATTTTGCCTACATTTTTCAATCATAGTGCAGTTATTTAACAATGGAGGGGATCATTTGACAATGGCAGAAGATAATTTTATCACTGCCAGCATAAAACTGGTCATGGAGATCACCTCATTTTATATTCGTGTCATTTTCGTACATGCAAGAGAAGAGAAAATAAATCGCTTTCGAAAATTAGATAGTTTACAGTAATCATCATATAATTTGAAAAGAATTGAGGTTTAATTAATTCAATATTTTGTTATAACTGTCGAATGATAGTAACTTACACTGTAGTAGTATTTAGTAATTGTAGTTATTTGCAAGAAATTTACTCGACTATCAACGAAACTGGCATCGTAAACAGTCAGGGGACTTAATAAAATGAGTGATTTTCTAAATCACTGATTCAAGTAACATTATGTCCATAAAGGTTGGAAGTAAGAGTTGTCTTTCTTTAATAATTACCTATTTAAGTAGTACAAATTAATCACTAGACTAAGTGATTTAATTTTATTTTAGCTTTAAATATAGAATACAAATGATCCAGGAACTAATTATGTTGCTAAAATTATCAGAACCAACATCTGTGTTGATAAGATGACCGGGTCATGTCAGGTGATGACCTTGTACTAAATCTAGGATAATGACATAAAAATCACTTGTTTACCTATCATACCTCAATTTCCTCCCAAAAAATCACTTCTTTAAGTATCATTATTATAATAATCCCCACTAATTTCAACACCCCCGAACAGTGAAATTTTGATCGTGAACAGTAGAATTTTATTACATAATCTGTAAGATGAAACCTTAAATTTTACAGGAAAAATACTCCCACTGATTGGAAAAATCTGTTAAGAAAGTATCAGTTCATTATGTAAAGCCATTTTTATACTGATAGCATTTTTTCAACTAAAATAGAATTTACAGCTAAATGATTGCATCAAAGGCATAAACCTTGCTGCTTAAAAGAAGCAAAAAGATCATTTTTTTCAATTTTACTAATGAAAAGATATCATCTAAACCTATGTGTTTAAAATTTTGGTAAACTACAAAATCACAATTTGTGACAAAACTTCGAATTTCAATTTGCTACTTAAATAAATAAGTGATTTAAAAATCACTTATTTCAATAAGTCCCGTGACTGGTAAAAGATGACTCAATCACTCACAATAGTTGTGATTGACTTGAACAGCTCTATTCAGGATAACCTGTGAAAAGTATAACAAAAAATGTATACAATTATATAGTATTGGGGACTACTGGTACAAAATGTTTGCTGTCCAATAATGGCAATATGTCTCGTCTAACAGGTGGAATCTGTCATCCAACTCCTTCATTCCCCGTAAAGTGTCGTTCTTTATTTAGACCAAGAACCGAAAAACTTAAATGTTTAGTTACCTGTCTTCTATAATTTAGATTAAATATACAAAGTCAAATTCAGCCTGATGAAATAAACACTGAACAGTTTTAAACGTTGAATACCGAAAAATAGTTAACATTCAGAAATGCAACGTACGTTATTCATTATATTGAATGTACATAATGGACTTGTTGGATTTAAGAACTGCCAGTATGTTTCGTATAACAGGAAATTCATAGTAGGGGATTAAATTCATTCTCTTTTCGCAATTTACTGCTTGTATTATTCTATAGTTTTGAACTTGTTATTTGATTTACTCCTCAGACACGTTCTTGCTTGGACGTAGAAAGTGAATTGATTAAAAGTCGCCCCAGTGCTAGATCGCCCCAACTTTCTAGTACTACCAACTCGACCCACAAAAACAAGAATTCTAGGGGTTACACTAAAGACCTGAAAGTAGACCTGAAAAGACCCGAATAGACTTGAAGATATGAGACTAAAATTATTCAAATTACAATAACTTCTTTATTTTTGAAAGGATTTTCTTCAAGATAGAATTTTATTAAATGTAAAGATCCACTCTTTATCAAAAATAAAATGTTTTAAATAAAAACCAATTTTTTGAGTATTCTAACTCTGCGGTTACTATTATTATTTAAATTTTAACTAAAACATAAAAAAAAATGCGGTGCCTGCAAATAGGGTGGACATCCTGAAGAAGAAGAAGAAGAAGAAGAAGAAGAAGAAGAAGAAGAAGAAGAAGATGCCAAAACGTGGAACTGAACGGAGAAATGAAAAGACTTGAACGGACCTAAAATTCTACGATCAGACTTATTCAAACTAATTAACTCATTTAAATTGTATTTATATAATCAGGTCTTAAACTGTTTTATTCATATATTGAAAATAAAAGTATCATTTGCACATAAACCATGTATTCTAAAGACGTGTGTTCGTCGATTGGAATGTTTGAATTACATGAACGTGTGCCGGCTGTAAGTCACACCTTGTATTGATATTAGGTGATAATTGGATCATTAGTGTACATAAACATTTCATTTTAATATTTTAATTGGATTATCATTTAATCTTGTTACACAAATGTATATATAAATCAAATATGATATACAGCAACAAACGAACTGTATATATCTTTATTCTGTCAAACCTTTGCAATTACAATGGTATACAGACACTACATGACATCAATAATACAGACATAAGTAGTGTCAAAAGGCCGATTCTGCGGCACTTGCCATTTTAAGCACAAATTCAGCATAGGAACCCCAACCCCAAACATAAAATGCAAACGCAATACGTTTCAATTAACCTAAGGGTAAAAACAAGAATGTCTTTCAGTTTAGCACAAAACCCAAACACCTTAGAAGGATGTAATCCTAGGGTAAATACAAATATGTCTTTCGTACAAAAGATGGAGGAACTCAGAAGTCCACAAATCGTAGACAACGATTTTATGAACGATAATGTTTTCGAGGAAAAGGCAAAGGATCAGAGCATGGAAACCCTGAAATGGAAGGAACTCTCAACCGGTGTGATCTATAAAATCCTGGAAGTGGTGGAAGTAGATGGTAAGTTTGGAAAGAGTAAGATCCTCACCTTGAAAAACAGAGAAGGAGAAACGAATAGGGTGTGGGCCTGCAGTGGACTGAACAGAGAGACAGGACCCATGGTAGGAGCCTTCGTGAGAAGTACAGGCTTTAAAGTCAGCAAAAAGACCAAGCAGGAGTACTTCTCTTACGACCTTGTGAGAAATTAAGTCCAAAAAAAAAATAATGGGCCGGGTGGGGTACAAAAAATTTTTCCGATCCGACATTTCTGCCGGATTGGAAAAGTTTTTTTTTATGCTTGAAACGGAGCACATCATGAAGTGAAGCGGAATGGATCACATCGTGAAACGATGTGTGTAGTGAAGCGTAACGGAACGATGTGTGACGTTTTTTACGGCGCATGCGCATTTGATACGCACAAGATTTTAGTAATGCCCTTATTGTATAGCCAGTACGTCAATAGTCCTTTTTACGCGGGCTTTAAGACGTTATCGTTTTGCAGTGTTGCTAACTGCCTTTGTGACGTTGTTTTGTTTGGATTATACAGAAATGAACGGAGAAGACTGGAAGGTATTTTGTACAATCATGGATGATTTCAGAAACTACTTATGCAACGCTTATCCTAGCGATCAGGAATTGAACGAGTACTGGACAAAACTCGAGCGCTTTGCTGAGCAATCAGCGAAAATATCGAAATGTGAAAAAGAGAGGAAAAAAATTGCACAGAAACGAACGAAGCAGGAAGAAAGGGAAATGTTCAAACGAAAATTGATGGAAAGTTACAAGTTGGCAATGTGCGCATGCGTGGACCTGAAAAGACGATCTTCTTTAGGCTCTTAAAAAATTGTGAAAATTGGTATTTACAAACGTTCGTTACCACCCTAAATCTTGAATATTATTATATATTTACTCAATGTACATAGGTATAATCAATACATAACTAAAATACACCTTTAAAAGCAGATTTCACTTTTTGAAATACATTTTGACAGATACCGCCAAATATCATGTGACCAAAAAGAACAGAGGGAAGCATATTGGGGTTATATTGAAAAAATGATATTGGATCTACCCATAAATGAACCGGACCAACCATGTAACAATCAGTCAAAACCTAAAAAACTGTTCTCCTTTATAAAATCACTGCGCACAGATAACACCGGTGTAGCTCCTCTGAAAAAAGAAGGACAGTTAATAGCTGACACAAAGCAAAAGGCAGACATCCTCAACACACAGTTCCAATCAGTGTTTACAACCGAATCAAATAACAGCATTCCAGACAAAGGTCCAAGCTCACCCCCACAATAACACCACTAGAAATATCACTACCAGGTGTCAAGAAACTTCTACTCAACATAAACCCACATAAGGCAACTGGCCCAGATAACATCAGTGGCAGAATATTAAAAGAACTCAAAGATCAAACAGCTCCAATTCTTACACTAATCTTCAAAACATCACTTGAAACTGGCATAACACCAACAGACTGGAAACATGCCAATGTGGCACCAGTATTTAAAAAAGGGGAAAAATACAAGCCAGAAAATTACCGCCCAATATCATTGACATGTATTTCCTGTAAACTTATGGAGCATATCATCACCAAACACATCATCAACCACCTTGAAAAGAACAATATACTGTATGACCTCCAGCATGGCTTCCGTCAGTCACGATCATGTGAAACCCAACTCATTTCATTCATCCAAGAGCTTGCAGCAAATAACAACAACAACACACAAACAGACTTAATTATAATGGACTTTGCCAAAGCATTTGACAAAGTCCCTCATAAAAGACTTCTCTATAAACTGAACTACTATGGTATTCAAAATGAAACACTAAACTGGGTCTCTGCCTTCTTAAATGACAGAACACAAACAGTTGTCCTGGATGGAGAGTCATCTGACCTGGCTCCAGTCACCTCAGGTGTCCCTCAAGGCACAGTTCTGGGCCCAGTATTATTCTTGGTATACATCAACGACCTACCAGAATACTTACAATCCAGTAAGCTCAGACTGTTTGCCGATGACAGTATCATCTACAAAACCATTAAATCTCAAAGTAACTGTGATGAACTCCAGTTAGATTTAGATGCAGCTGCTAGGTGGGAACAAGACTGGTTGATGGCTTTCCATCCAGACAAATGCACAGTCCTCACAGTATCACAAAAGAAAAAACAGTTTAAACATGACTATATCCTTCACAATCACAAACTTGAACTAGTCTCTTCAGCTAAATATCTGGGCATTACACTTCAAGCAAACTTAAAATGGTCAAAACATACTGACAACATCATAGCTAATGGAAACAAATCTTTGGGCTTCTTAAAAAGAAATTTAAAAACATCATGTCAGAACATCAAAACCCAGGCATATCTGGCACTAGTTCGTCCTAAGCTTGAATATTCATGTTCAGTATGGGACCCTCACACAGCTGAACAAACCTCTAAAATTGAGATGGTCCAAAGACGAGCTGCCAGATATGTCTGTAACAGGTAATATAACATCAGTAGTCCTACAGACATGATAAACTCACTAAACTGGCCCACGCTACAAGAAAGAAGACTACGCACAAGATTGATAATGTTCTACAAAATAGTACATCAAATCGTAGCAATCCCATCTGCTATTCTCATACCATCAGACAGTAGAACCCGCAAAAACCATAGTTTCACTTTCAGACACATTTCTACTAAAAAAGATACATATAAATTTTCATTTTTTCCGTACACCATTACTCAGTGGAATTTACTACCAGTCCACACAGTCGCTGTAACCACAGTCGACACTTTCAGAGAACAGCTTACACCAACTGTTCTCCACAAATTCATTTAACTCATTATTAGCCTATGTACATAGTTTTAATCACAATTTAAAATTCTTACGCACTCCAAACTCATTTTCAATTATTTTTGTGTTTTTGTAAATATATATATAGACCACGCAGCGCAAAACAGTATATAATCTTCAGATATTGAAGGACTACTGAAAACAGAAAGAAGAAGAACAAGAAGATGATGATTTAACAGAATTACCGCCTGATTTGCGAAATGAAAAGGACTGTATCACTAGAATTAAAAATCTACAGAAGAAAATCGATCACACAAGACGAAATGTACTGTTCTATACGTTCGGACAAGGAGAAACTATTTTTGTTTTGAAACAAAAATTGAAGCTACATAAGGATGAGTTGTGTCCCTACTTCGCAAAGCACGAACTTGTGTATTCTGCTAGTTATATTTATAAACTGGTCAAATTTTACCAGATTGCTGATCTACATCAGAAAATATTGAAATGTAACTTACCAGTAAGAGACATTTTCAAACATCTCGACATGTTACATGAAATATGTATTGAACTTGAATGGTGACTTTTGATTAAATCAATACACGAATATCTTGGTCCTTTTAAGGACCACCCACATTATTAAA